CTGCACACAGTTCTCCAAAAAGGCGAATTATTGAACACCCTATCAATAAGTATATTTCGTCATCTTAAAAAATCAAGGAAAGTTAGTGGCAGGCAAAAGGCAGGTGTAGGCAGCTGTATGATAAGGAGGTCCAAGATCGGGTTATGTAGGTTTTTTGGCTATGAAAATGACCATGGAATGCTAAATAAAGATGGAGATAAAGTGAGGTTTTGATAAAAATCGAAGGGATTAAGGTCCACTTATATGCAAGGAGTTTTTTTTTTTGTGTACCTACTAAGCGCAGATTATCACTCAATTAAGCTACCATTTGGCAGCTTTTACAACTGCTTATCTTGTACAAACATTATTCCAGGCAATAGTCATGCTTTCGCACATAATTTCTGCCACTTTCATCACGGCTCGCCCACACTTGCGAATGCCTATGCGTGAAACTGATAAGCGCGATTGACAACAACACACTCGATTGCCGTTGACGGGCCGCACTACCTGACCGCGCTGCCCAACGCCATATTGACACAGTGGGTGGGCGGGTTAATCGAGAAATGTTGCTGATAAAGAAAACTGCAATCACTGAAGTAACGCAAATGTAACGTAAAGGAAAATGAGTTCATATAAAGTGATGAAATAAATTTTAGAAGTTCGTTAGCTCGCAGTGTGCTTATATGTATGTATGTATACATATCTATACATACATATGTACAGACCACGGGCGAAAAGTGTAGATAAGAAATATATGTATGTGCATATTTCTATAATTACCAACAACAGCAATCAATTATAAAACAAAGTGGTGAGAGCAAATAGCTTAAAACGTCTGGAAGACTTACCGCCTAACTAAAAGTCAACTGCGGAAGTAGGTACGTTTCCTGTTTTTAAGGTTGTAATTCCGAATTTTTATCAATTAGGTATTATAATTCTTTTTTTTTTTTTGTTACAACATACCACAAAAAGTACCAAGCTAGCAACAACAAGCTATGGCTATTGATATGCCGTATACTATACGCATACGAAAAAATTTAAGCTTCAGCAGTATTTGTCATACAAGCACCGAAAAAAGCCAATATTTTATTGTGAAAAAATATGAAAAAAAAAATCAAAAGCTCCTCTATGTCACTCTTTCAGCTAATCTGCTTGAGGGCCGCTCACATGCAGCCCACAAATATACCGGCCGGCTATCTAACTAAACAGCTAGCCAGCAAGGCAGGCAAGTAAACTAACAGTCAGCCAGCTGTGCGAGCGAGCATTTGCAAAAAAAATAGCAATAAACAAAAGAAAAAATATTAAATAAAAACAAAAAAATTCAATCATATAACTCGCTCCGTTTGCGAAGAGCACACGCTATACTGTAGGGGGAATACAGCAAGCGATCGCGCCAGCTGAATAGCGTAATAAAGAGTTAGTAGGAGTAGAGGGGCAATTAAAAAGGAGGAGCGTATAAGAGTTGGTAACAGCGCGCGCTGAATAGCATTCAAAATAGCGGCGAGCTGCATTGCTGAATAAAGAGTGACGGCCTTAGCGCTCCTCCGCTATGTGTTTCCGCTCTCAGACTCTCAAATGAAAACACATAGCAACAACAAACTGCAGCAAATGTTTTGTCGAATGACAAAAGATAACAATAACACAGGCATACTAGAGTAGCTGCACATACAATGTACCTTTTTGAAGATGTAGTAGGTGCGCTTTACTTACGAGTCGTCGATATTGTGTTGTGGGTAGAGAGAGCGGCGCCTACACCGCTTGCTTAGTGTATTGGTGAGCAAGTGCAGCTGTGGTGCCGGTGGCGGCGGCGGCGGCGGCGGATGCGGACTGGTAAAGCGTTGACTTCGCTGACGTCGCAGCGCATTGGCCAATTTGCGAATTTTTATCAGCGTCGCCGCGGCCAAGTGTGCTTTGATGGATTGGTTGCTGTGGGCTGGGGAGGAGAACGCACAGTGGTATGTTATGGGGCGAGACAAGTGAAAAAAATAAATCGAGGGAAAAGATTTCTTTTGGAAAAAAGAAACTACAATTTTTAATAGTATTTAAACGAATAAAACGAAATTCATTTAGTGTAAGAAATTTTGAGATCCAAGCATAACATGTCATTCAAAGTACTTAAAATTTAACATCTTTACTAATTTTCGCAAGAATATCTCAAATGAGTAGCTTTTACAATGGAAAAGTACCACAAAATGGCTCCGCTTTAACCCTCAAGTGCCAAGTTTACTTAAAAAAAAAAAAAAATTTACAACAAAAAATAAAAAATTAAACCAACTTTTATTTCTTATCAATGCGATACCTTTTCAATAAGACAATAGCGCGTTCATTTTAAACCAGTAATAACCAAAACATATCCCGCGGGATATAAAGCTTTTACTTCTGCGCATCCATATAAAATCCATTGAAAGTTTTAGAAAGCTTCCGCCGCGGCATACGTTTTGGTAAAAAATCTCTTTGATCGTAGCTATTTTCAACACTTTCTTTTGGGTTGTTTAAGCTATCGCCCAACACAAGGCATCGACAATCTTTGGAGATTTAACCTTTTTAATGAAACCATCTGCCAAACAAAGGTGGTGTAAAATAGTGAACCCATCCATTTGTGCGATTAAAAAAAAGACTCAGACATACATATCTAGCGAACTTTTGGGGAAACATTTTTCACACTAAGCTTTGGAAGTCCAAAAGACTTTAGAAACATAAAAGAGTGGATGCAGAAGTCTGAAGCACAAAAATGTAAATTTTTTCACTAGTAAATGAGGGTTTTGTTTCAGTGCAGCTAGGTTTTGTAAGAAGCTTACGGAAGGCGAGGATGGACTGTGAGATGCCTAGTTTGCAAAGGAAGTTTTTATTTCAATTCAGCTAGAATTTATAAAAGGCTTATAAAAGACGTTGGGATGTCAAGCGCGGAAAGATTTGTTTATTTCAGTTCAGCTGGGTTTTGTGAGTAAATCTTAGCATCCAAATAAATATAATTGGGCCACGATGCATTAAATGATTGCTGAATAGTCATATCGGATGTGCCACTAGAGCAGTGAGGCTCAAAAACAGCGCCCGCGGGTGGAACTCTTCAATGCTCTCTTTAGTTTTTATATGAACGCGCACAGAGAAAAAGCTTCCTCTGGGCAACACTACACTAGTGGCCTGTTGCTACTGCTAACTTACGAGCTGAAGTTATCAACTCCCACAAAGCTTAGCTCGAACTCTGGCTGGAGAACCAAGCAAAGGAGTTCCAGAGGATAACTTTAAATTAATCTTGGTGACTAATCGACTTTATTGAAGGAAAATTATATCAATAGACATTCATTATCTGGCTGTACTGCGTTCTTTGTTAGCTTAGGGAAGGCTGTGAAAGCGGATTAAGTTGATATTAACTGATCTTTCAAGTAAAAAAAACTACATTTTTGTTCGTATTTATGTATTAATGAGGCCGCTTTCGGTTAGAGTTTTCGACATGAAGCCACTAGGAGCATGTGTGAGCATCTGCACCTTCAAAATTCCAAGGAAAGTGAAGAAATTTTTATATAAAAGAAAATTTTGAAGTTAAAGTCAGTATAAAATTGAATCGATAGGTTTCATATATCATATCTCGAAGAAACCCCGGCTAAAAAGTCGTTTATGATAACCGTTTACGATTCGTTTTCGAGTACTTTTTCGCTTGAAATTGTCGAGCGTCTACGAACAGTCGTAAACGGATAGAAAAAGTATTCGTATGCGAATATTATATATTGTAAAATATTGTGGTTAAAGAAAAATTTCCAACCGAATGAAAATTTTTTCTTGTGCTGACAAATTACTACAAGCCTCTTTCTTTTACTTTTTTTTTGTTTTATCGTTTACGAGCCTTTCTCTAACTTTTCACCGCTCGAGAATCCCTCGTAAAACATAATTTTCGTAAAATGTTCGTTTCCTTGCTGGCTGGGATTCCACTTGAACTACTTCTGTTTCATTAGCTTGATTGTTCGGCTGGGCTTGGGGCCTACCACCTGATAGCGAGCTCCTGTGAATAGACAAAAAATGGCTCAAGCAGCAGTAGTACTCGTTTCAAGTGTGCTACTTTCCTTCCAACCGTTAAGCAAACAGGCATTTCACTTATATAAAAATAAAAGCGTATTAGAAGAAACCGTCGTCTAAGTCGATTCGCCAGGAGTAGAAGAAAATTAATAAAAAAACAGATACTTTTACACCTTCGTTACAAATCCAACGGCAACCTTTCAAATGCTCTCCAATCTATAGTTCTCTTGCTCCATGAGAAATGCGCCGCTTTCTTAATTACTTCATTAAAAAAGCAACACACCGGAAAAAAATCAAAATAAATGTAAAAACAAAACAGCACGAAATGTGTTAGCGTATACGTCACATAAATAGAACACTTGTTTCCCAGACCAATGACCTATTTTTTCTGTTATGCTTTACACTACACTGTTGTTTCGTTTTTTTCTCTCTTTTTGTTTTTAAACACTTCCCTTATACGCGCCGCTACACTGTGCCAACAACGCCAACCAGACGCCAATGACGCAGCCAGCGGCTACGACTTGTTTCACACTTCACTGTGACGGTGGTCTGGCGTAGCGTTTATTTGTTTTGCCGCGCGCGCTTCTTAGCCAAGCCGTTGCGCGGCGAGCGTTTGCACTAACAATAATAAATGGACTGGAGTTGAGGGCGCAAAAAACGCTGTTGCGAGCAGCGCTGCCGCTGAGACCACTATTGCGCCGGCCGCTGGCATCGCAACGTCAAATTGCAAATAAATTGGCGAACAGGCCACAAAGTATTTTGTTGCTTGTCAATGCCGCTGCCTGCGGTGAACGTGTGCGTGAGTAGGTGCAATATCTGTTCGCATGTGTGTGTGTGGTTAGGCGCCGCCAACACCAACACCACCGCCAACCGTCTATCCCTCCATCTTTCCGTCCGTGCGTCCGGCCATAAACGTCTCAGAGCGAACCTGCGGATGTACGCTGGCCGGACAAGGCAAGCGAGCGAGCAAGCGAGCGGCTTTTTCAATTTAGTTTAGTTTAGTACGTCACGTTTTGCGGTCGGTCGTAGCGGAAGAACGCAAACTTCTGAACTCGTATCAAAAAGTGCCTATATACCGAGCAACAACTGCAACACACACAGCGCAGTAGTGTTAAAAAGAACAACAAGAAAAGAAAAACCGAAAGTAAAGAAAAGAAAGAAAGACCAAATAGCAGTAGCAAGCAACATTGAGTAGTCACAGGCAAAAACAATAAAACAGCAAAAAAGAAAACGAAAGGAAAGAAATGAAAATGAAATAACCAACAAAAATTGCGCTTTAAATTAGCACTACACTAACAGCAACTATAGCAAAAAACAGCTATATATAATACAAATAAAAGTAGCATAAATATTGCAATAAAGTGTAAAAAATACAACGCGCGAGCAACGCAAAAAGTGCGAGTTTAGCAAAAAAAAAATTACACTTACATAGCTAGAACTGAAAAAAGTTTAAAATTCGCACAGTGCGCTACAGCAGTTGTGCTGTGCTGTGAAGCTTTTGCGGGAGAGCACAGAAGAAAAAATAAAATTAAAAATACAATTAAAGAGATAATTCCAAAAAATATATGTACATATAAATAAACAAGGAAAATTCCAACTGTGTAACAAATATTGCATAAAAGGTGTTTTGGAAAATGTGATTTTTATGGCCCAAATTTTTTCGTTTTTTTTTTGTAAATACTTTAATTTTGTGAATGCAGTAATTACGTGGTTAGAATCTTTTTATTTAAAATGTTCATGCTTGCCGACAGCGTGTAGTAGCGCAATTACTGAAAAAAGAACCTGGTAAAGTACCTATCTAGATAAACGATAATCAAATTAAAATGTTATGTATGTATGTGTGCACATAAAAGTATTGCAAATTCAGCGCTAAAAGCGTATGAAAAATACAGAAAAGTTAGTAATGGGCAAGTGGTAGGGGAAAAGGGAAGCGAGCAGCTACGCTGGCAGTGGTGGTTAGCGTCAAAGCGGTAGCAGTGGTGCGGTGGCAGCGGTGGCAGCGGCGAACAGCGACTGCGACAACGAAATGGAAAAGAAACGAAATTTATAGGATTTTTTTTAAGTTGCTTTGCAAAAAAGCAAGCAAAGCAAATAGGCACGCAAAAATAATTGAAATGAAGGCAGAGAAAAAAATGTATTAAAGTAAATACCTAAACGGCAACAAATATTTGCGAAAAAACGAAGAAAATTTAAAAGAAAAACTATATATAAAAATGACGGTAAAGATTTAAATAGATTTAAAGCAAAAAATTCATAAAGAATTACTAGAAAAGATAAAATAACAAAATCAAAAATAGCAATAAAAAAATTGCCGCAAAATAAATCAAAAAAATATAATAATAAAACAAATTGTATATTAAGAGCTAACGGTAAAAATTGTAGAGCTAAAACTGCACGAAGGCAGACGCAAGTAATAAGGCAAACAAAACTTAAAAGAAACGACGAAAAATCTAAGAAAAAAAATTAATTCAACATTTTTTCAATTATCATAAATTAAAAAAAAAGATATAAATAAAACAAAACCAAATTAATAAAATAAGAAAAGCTTTAATGTTATTAAAGCAACAACAAAAGAACAAAACAGTAATGGTAAAAATTACAAGGGGAAAAAGTCATACAAAATGTTTAGAAGTAATAACGCACACAAACCTTACAGAAAACAATAAAAAATAAATATAAAATAAATGAAAACCAAATTTTTTAAATTAGTGGTAAAAAAAGTTAAAATAAAAAATTTAATTAAAGTACTAGGTATATTTTTTGCATTAAAAAGCTATTTTAAGCGTAAAAAATCCAAAAGTTAAAAACAAAAACATTTGAAATGCGACCAAACAATATTTTTTTAGTTAAAATTAATTCAATTGTAAACACAATAAAAAACAATATTTCCTACAAACTTATGGCCTTATTCATACAAAATAAAATAGATTTATAGAGTTCTATAAAGTGAGATTTTCATACAAATTTTCGATTTATAAAGCAGTTAAGGTCTTCCTTATTTTTTATGAATTTGGGTGTTAAAGTTAAAAAATCTAAAAAAAATATACTATGGTGCCTACAAAAATTGCAAAAAATAAAAACAAGTTTTGAGATCTCGTTGCCATAAATTTTCTAATAAAGAAATTTAAGACTAGTAAACAAAAATGTGAAATTTTTTAAGCTCTGAAAAAATTACAGAAAAGGCAATGAAAGAATAATAGTTAAAAATTAAGAACGTCAGCACAGCAGCAACAATTGTCGCGTAAATAAATTTAAAGACAACAACGCGTCAACGACGTAAGCGACAGCACCGCCGCGCGTACGATTAGCGACGCCGCAGACTACCAAGCGCAGCGCGGCATAGGCAGACTATGATCAGTGTTGCCAAACATGCACTTTTCCTACCGAAACTGCTAGGTTTTTTTCCATTTGGTAGGTTGGTAGGCTAAGTTGGATTTTGGTAGGTTCCGCGACAATAATAGTTATTTGCGAAAAATATAAAATATATATATTCAAACGTTTTAGAAACCTTGCTTATATGTACATCAAGGTATATACTTTATACATACATATATATGTACCTATGTACATATATGTCCTGAAAATTGGTGTGCTGAAAATGGCTTGTCAGTAACCTCACTGAAGTCCACCATTGTCCACCTGACAGAGACTTCATGGTTAGACTTGGCGAATATAACGAAAACTAACCTGTTAGTCTTTCAATACTTTAGTAAGACCCCTTTGTCGCATATGTGGCACTGGCCTGATGGCTAAAAGCTAAGCAAGTAAAGGCGAGATATGGGGGCACCTGTCCAACGAATGCCCTTTATGTCATTATAGGCATTCCTTCTTTGTCCATTCTGTTTGAAAAAGAGGCCTACTGGAGCACCCTACGACTGCCCAATATAATCAGCAAGAAAGTTGGAGATCTTCTGGGTCATTCTAAAGACAGGTTCTAAAGGCATTCCAGGATAATCCCGAGTTATCCTTCTACAAACCCCAAAAAGGTCAGAATTCCTGAAAAGGACTGCTGAGAAGTGATAACAACTGTGATTGATGAAGGTGAACGACGAGAAATAAATCAATAAATAAATATAATGACGGATAGTCAGACATGTCAAACATGTTTAAAACGTCATCAGGCTTGTGGACAGCTGTAAAACTATTTCGCACCACTTGGAGGCCCACAATAGCGTAATGCTGTGGGGTGGGTTCCGGGACATAAAGGATTTGAAAGCAACGAAAGAACTGACTGTCTCCAAGGCCTGTAGCTTAAATGCGCTTGCATGGTCCATAGCCTTTCGTGAGCTGGTGGAAAATGCCCACGTATCATAAATGCAGAAACCATTTAAAAACTTCAAAAATTTTTGGTAGGATTTGGTTGCTCTTGGTAGGAAATTTTGGTAGGAAAAATGTGTTCATGGCAACACCGACTATGATACAAAAATACCCAGCAGCAGCCCCAGTACCGTTAGCTTGCTTCTACGTACGTATATGCATACATATGTATATGTACTAAAAGCGCTTTTTACTTGTAGCCTTACGAGTGAGTGTGTGTTGATCGGTCTCTCGCCGAATACTAGGCATTTTCGCATCGTTGGTTCGTTCGCACGCTGCCTCGCTTGCTTGCTCTAAATATGTATGCTTGCAAAAGCAACCGTGCGCTGCGACGTTAACTTCGACGCATACGCAGCGCGCCGTTAATTAACCAATATGCATATTTTTGTTGCAGTATCGCTACCATTTTTGTGATTATCAAGCGAAGAAAATACAAAAAAGTGCAAGCGAAAAGCGATATTTTGCTTGCTGAAAGCCCTCAAAAGCTTAAAAAATAATAATATCCCACTGCTGAATTTGGCGAGCACATTCATAAATAGATACTTAATTCAACATTTTTGTCAGTCTATGGGATTGTCTGCCATCCGCCGCTGCAATGTCATTAGCTTGCGCGTCGCTATACACCTTTTTTTTGCCTACTGGGATTGCAGCTGAGGCGTTACAACGTCATTACCGATGGCGCCACGATTTCGATTTTGCCAACGGCACCACACAGCCAACGTACAGCCACTCGCCGCCGCTATCATCGCTGTATTCTTTATCGTTTTTTTTTTTTAATGAAACAAACCAACAAACACTCGCAAATTTTTTGTAAGCGTAATTTTTCGTGATATTTTAAATTATGTGTAGCGCAAATTTGTATGCGTTTTGGATGTGTGTGCGTGCGCGCGCATCGTAACCGCAATCACAAGCTGTCACAAAAAAACGCATGGAGCAACAAGTAGAAATCGTAGAAGGAGGTGTCATTATGCGTTTCCTGTGCTTTAGATTTCTTTGTTGATCAGTCGCTAGCAGCGTGCATAGATGCGCGGCTGTTACACTCGCTTTTTCCACAAAATAAAAAGATTTGCTGCTTTCTGCTTCCTCTCCGATTCCTACCGATAAGCGCATTGCTATTTTTCTTGTACAAAAGCTTCTGAAATTATTTTGCACAGACCGTCGCTCTCATTGCAGGAGTCCCCAACGCCTACATCAGCGTCAATGGCCGCAAACGCTTTAATCATAAGGTTGGCGTTTGCCGATAGTACACCACAATTGCCCCACGTTCAAATGACATGCACGAGTACATTAGAAAATTGCATTTTCCTGGAATCACTAACCTATAATTCATAAATACATCACATATTTATACGAAAAGTATTACATATGTATGTACAGTACCTGTAAACCTAATGCAGACTACACACGCTCTGACACACAGATTATTCATTCTCACCACTTCACCATCGCCAACATAGTGGCAGCCGGCTAACTGCCCACACATTCGCTGAAATGCTGTTCGCGCGCCGATGCTACCCCTTGGCAAAACCTGCCGGCACCCATTACTCACTCGTTCATTTCGATATGCAACAGTTAGTAGTATGTAGCATAAAATTCAATAGAATACCAAAAGTATACGTACCTATCTATGTGTCTTTTTTTATATATGTATGTATATTTGCTTGGCCATTAAGTCGTCTATACTCCGGCGGCAACACCACGACCACCAATCGCCTCTGCTGCCACCCCTCATAGTCATTTGCAATGCCGTGAATTGCATAATTGCAATACATGTTCGTCTGTCTACGTCTCTAGCCGCACCTACTGCATTCTGTTTTTGCCACTCTGCCACTGCTACCATCAGCGACAATTCACCACCTATGTAGTGGCTGACCTACTTTTCGCTAATACTATGGCCATGTCGTTTTTAGCTACTCGCAGTGCTGCCACTCGTGACAATTTTTGTTTGCTAAAAGCGCGAATTGAACGGAAAAAAATTTCAAATAGAGCTGAAAAAGAGACGAAAGGATAATGGACAGTTTAAGAAGCAATTTAGTGTTCCGGGCAATCGGAAGCACTAAAAGTTATTCTCAACCTGAGTACGATTATCATACATGAACTGCGCTGTCAGTGAAGGAGGGAGAATACTCCCCCCAGGAAAGAACCTGCCGCCCTCCTGTAATTTGGATGATAGCGAGGAAAGTGTCCATTATTTTCTGTCAATGTGAAGAAGGTCCGCAACCGCAAGCCAAGTGAATAAATAGCAAACGGACCTAACAAGGCATTATTGTAGCCGCTACAACAACAACAACAATCAGCATTATTCTTTAAAGCAACTCAACTTGATTCTAATCTCAGTACAGAGCTTCACCCAAGCGAAATTTAGAAGCTAAAGCAATTTATCTGGTGACTTATTTCATTGCATGTCCATGCCTAAACAGCAGATGCGCGCAATTCTCAACCAGTATATAAAATAATTTATTACAGACATTCTCCACTAATGCCCACCACAAACTATTGAGGATGTTTATATTTTATTTAAGAGCGTGTTACTTTTACTTTCTCTTCGAGGATAAACTGACATATTATATAGTTTTCGAGGAACTTACTTAGTGGCATTTTCAACTTTCTTCCTTTGATACCATGGCTGGGTTTCTCCAACTCAACTTAACTTAGTTTAGCCATTTTGAGGACTAAGTCTTATACACCATCTAGGCTAGGCTAAAAATTAGCCTACGTTTTAATCCAAAAATTGCCTAAACTAAGTTAAGTTGAGTTGGTGAAACCAGCCCTAGGATTTCTTATGATAGGCATTGTAGTGCAAATATATTATTTTCAATAAATTCAATTAGAAATGAATACTTGTCACTGGCGACGGCTTAGTTAGTTATAAATCATAAGCAAACAAATGCGAATAGCCCAACATAATTTGATAAGAATTCACATAATAAAATGCATTGAATTTTCTCCAATGCCAAAAGTGATAAGATACCTTAGGCTTTTGCTGGTATGCATGTAGGGATGTCTGATATGCATATCTAAAAGCCTTATCAATGTCAAAAAAAAAAACAAAAACAATATAATAACTTAATCACCATACGTGTGTATGAATGTGTGGTCGTGGTGAAATTCTATAAGAAAGTGAAGCGAGTATAAAAAAACGAAAAGTGACACTGAAGATAGCACAACGCCGAATCCGATTTGTCTCCAAACGGAATACGTATGTATAAAAAAAGCTTTATTTATGCTTTTTGTCGATAGAAAAAAGCTTATTTTTCAAAAGGCTTTGTGGATTTTATGCACCAAAGCAAACGACTTAATGACTTTTTGACCAAAAAGAAAAATCGACCAAACTCAAAAATTCCATTAAAAAAATTTCCGTTTGTGCATTTAACGAATTTGGTTGACAATTGGAAATTCAGTCTTCGATTTCTCGTGTTTATAAAAAAAGTGTTGCCCTTGTTCAGTTTTGTCAAACGGGTGCACAAGACTAGGCATCAGATTAAAGCGGAAAACAGTTAAAGAAAAAAAAAAATGTTTCTACTCCGCTGCTTAAAATTGTTTCACTTGTTCAGCTGTACGAAAGAGTTTTAAGAGGTGCGAAGAGCAAAAAGCTAGTAACATTAGTTAATAGTATGAAACGTGCTGGACTACCCAAAATAGCTAAACTTTTCCCACCAGATTTCGGTTAATCATGCATGAAATAAAGTGTTTCACTTGTTCAGTTGTACGAAATTGAAACGAAATGCATATTTCTTAAATGTATAAGGAATAATGTTTTTTTCCATTGAATTTAACTCGTGTCATCTCATTCGTGCTTACATTTGAACTTGAGAAGAAAACAGATTTTCCAATTCTTTTATTTGCGATACTCCACGTGCCTAGTCTAAAAAAACGACTCACAAAGCAAATGTGGCGCACCTCGTGAAAAAATCCCCCCTTTCGCAAAACTTTAGCAACATTGTTTTTCGAGTCACACAAACACACATTTACAGCTTAGGCACTACAAAATTCTAACACTTTTCAATTATTATGATCAGTTGCGGTAAAAAAAAGTAGTAGAAATTGTTGGAAAAATTCATTAGTGACGGCAAACGAGCGCAGTCAACATTATTGGAGACATCACCAGCGTCAACGACAGACACACACACACACACACACCCACTTCCACTAATTCATTCACCCTCACAATCATATTACTTTTTGCGCGTAGCAAAAATAACGCGTACAAATTTATTAGAGAGCCTTAAAATTGCTCTTTTTTTGGAGCGTGCGCTCTCTTAATTGATTTTTCTTTGGTCTTTAACAAAAAAAGTTTTTGCTTTTTCTACTCCATTTTGCAAAGCATTCATTCTAGACAGCATTCTTCGCTCTATAGTTCACACGTTCATTTGTGATTTACCCGTTTCGTAAGCCGCCTCTTATTCAACCTACCACCTTAAGGTGTAAACACTCATACGCCCCTGCGACCAGCTCGAGTTGTTGCGCTGCTGCTGTAGTGGTGCAAATGTTAATGCGCGCTCACACTCGATTCTGCGAACGTCTCTCATAAGTTATTTTACTGTGCATTTTTTGCTGGCGATCGCGTACAGTGGCGTTCAATGGTATGGCACTTTTGTTGATTCGTGAACTTTGTAAACGAAAATCGCAAAAAACTTTAAGCAGCGCCGGAAAAAGTCGCCCGCGAGTTTGTACACAATCACTGTGAAATATTCTGTTGTTGCAGCTGTCAGATGCCCTTAGAAACAGCAGCAAATATTATCGATTAAAAAATCTAAGAAATCTGTTTGTCAACTTTCTCATTCAATTATAGTTAGTTGCATGACATGAGTGCATACATACATACTACATACATATGTACATATGTATGTATGTACATTATATATTTGTTGCACAATCGCGCTTTTGTTGCTATGTTTTTATTCTTTAACTGCTATTCTACATTCAAATGAGTTATGAAGAATTCTTGGAAATCTCATTGAAGTCATTGTGCAAATAAATTGATTCTGATGAATAATGGGAATATGTTGACTTAGAAACTGTAATTTTTTGTACTACAGACAAAGAAATTCTTCGCACTTTGGAGAGAGAAAAAAACTGAAAAATTTTAAAAATTATATTTTGTTATTAATAAATTATATTAATAGATATTTTTACCCTGATTTTTTTATTTTCCTTATAAATTTATACTTTTTTCACTTGTATTATTTTTATTTAAATCTTATTTGTTAGAATTTTTGAAAATTAAATTTTAACTTTACAAGTTTGATGGTTTTTTTTTGTACATAACTACTTGCTTTCTTTCAATTGCATTTTTTTTATACAGAAAACATCAAAAATGTCAAATGCTGTCTTACTATAAGTTGATGGTTTATATTGTAGTCTAGATTTATTTTTTTTTTATATAATATATATGTATGTACAGTGAAAGCTCTCATACACAGACATCTCCTATAAGCGGACACATTCTTGGGAACGAACAATTTTTCGATATTTTATTTATTTATTTATTTTTTTTAATTTTTTTTATTTGATGTTTAATATTACTTTTCTCGAAATTCCCATAGACGGACAATAAGTAAGTGGCTATCGGTGTACGCTTATGGGAGCTTTCACTGTATATCTATTTTTTGTTTTTTTAATTTAACTTCTTAAAAATGCGATTTTTTATTTATGAATTTCCTCTTTTTTAACTTACTCGTAAATATTCGTTGAACATTTTTTCAAACTTCACGCAATTATTTTATTGTACCAAAAAAAATCGTATATACGTTGAATAGAGACAAATTTTACAAATTAAAAAAAATTTAAACTTCGATTTTTTTAATTTACGAATTTCCTATTTTTAACTTACTTGTAACAACTGGTTAAACTTTTTTAAAATTTCAAGCTATTTATTGTACCAAAAATAATCATATCTACATACTTTGGAGAGAGAAAAATTTTTTAATAAAAGCAATTTATTTCTTATACATACATACTAACACTTAAATTTATAATTTTTTAATTTTTGAACTCTTGTTGGTCGGTTTTACTTAATTTTTTGTATATACATATATATATATATATTTTTTTTTTTAAGTTGTAATTTTTTGTACTACAAGTAATAGTAGGTACTTTGGAGAGAGAGAAGAACTGAAAAAAAAAGTTAAAAGCGTTTTTAGCATGAATTACATTTTTTAGTTTTTAATTTATTTATTTGTTACTTTATTATTTTCACAATTTTTTTACTTTACTTACTTACTATTTTTTTTTTTAATTTTGTCACTTTAAATTTATGAATTTATTGAGCTTTTTTGTTTAAAAATTTTCACGATTTTTTTGCATCGACAACTTGCTAAATGTTTTTAATTTTGTGACTTACAATTTATTAACTTAATGAATTTTTTTTTTATGTTTATAAAAAGAAGATCTTTGTCAAATCCCAAAACAGAAACTAATTTTGATTTAGATCAAATTTTTATTAAATAAATTTAAATTAAAAAAAAAACATTTATGGCCTTATTCATAAAAAATAAAATAGAATTAAAAAGCACTATAAACTGACATTTTCATTGATTTATAAAGCAGTTAAAGTCTTCTATATTTTTTATGAATTTGGGTGTTAATTTTTATTATTAAAAACTTTATTTTAGTTTTGTGTTTATTTTTTAGTTTTAGAAAAGTTTTACTTATTTGTAGTTAAAGTGTTCATTTGTTAGCCTTCTCTTCATTTTCTGGATTGTTGTTAGATTTGTTATGAAAACGGTATTTTTTATTATTTTTAATACATTTTTACTCAACTATCAAATTTTTTTGAAAAAATACAGTTAAAAGAGCTTTTGCAGTTAAGGGATCTGACCATCAATTTTATTTTTACAAAATTTTGAAGAACGTAATTGTGTACATACCAAACAAAACAAAAACAAAAATCAATATAAAAATTTGGGTCACTAAAAATCCATGCACTAAATATCCGTAAATCATGCGCAATTCAAAATAAAAAAAATTTAAAGTTAAAAAAAAAAATACAATACCAAAGTTTTAATTTTTAAACGAATTTTAAGCTGTGTTTTAAGGCAGTCAACGCATCGGCAGAGACATAAACTTGCAAATAAAAACGCAAGCAAACAAATATAAATAAAATAAGAAAACAATCAAATTGTAACAAAAGGTTTATAGATAGGTATTAAAAACAAAGCTAAGTCGGTTAAAAAAATAATAGACGCTTAAGTTTTTAGAAATCATATTTAAAGAAAATTGCAAAAACTAAGCAAGCAGCAACCCCAAAAAAATAAAATTCAAATCACAAGCACAAGCAATTTGAGAAAAACTACAGCGGAAAGTGCGACAGTGAGAGAATAATAAAAACAAAAAAAAAATAAATAGAAACTGCGAACACAAAATGGCTTATTATCATCATCGGTGAGTTAATAAAAATATATACAAGTTTTATATAAAAAAAGTATTTTTAAAAATTTAGTGGGGTAAAAAAATTTATTTATACAATTGAGCACATGTTTTCTTTTAGAATTACAAAAAAACTATTCATGAAAATGCAGCATAAAAGCAACTGCAAATTTATCTTACGAAATGAAAACAGCTTTTATCTCGACTACATTGCCACGATTGAGAGAATACAAAGGTTGCGCCGATCTCGGACCGCTATTCCTCTCTTAACGAATTTGACAGAATCGTTGTTTGCATGACGTCACACTGGTGCAACTTGTTTACATTTTCCTTGCAACATTTTTTCTTCTTCTTCCATTCTTGCTCACGTTTTGGCATTTCTCTCTCGCAATTGCACCAGTGTGACGTCACACAAAAGTTATTCTCAAAAATCCTCTCTGATCGGCGCAATCTTGTATTCTATCATTCTTGCTACATTGCAGTAATCTCTGGGAAATATGATTGGACATGACGTTTCACTTGTTCATTTGTACGAAATTGAACTCACTTGAGAAGACACGAGTATCTGTACAATTCTGATGTTCGTGTAGTGTTTCACTTGTACAGTTGTGTGAAAAAGATTTTAAATTGCTTACCTCGCTTAAATGGAAAGTATTTCAAAGGAATTGTTCGCAGCGTTGCCGATTTGATACAATTGTATCATTTTTGATACTTTTTTTCTAAATTTTAAGATTTGATAAGATACTTTTTTGTTCACAAATGCCCCAATTTGATACTTTTGGCTGGCAGAAATGAATTTTTGAAAACTATGAATAATATTAATAGTTTAGAGGTAAATACCTTTTTTCTTGTTATTTAAAGTTTTAAAATTGTATATGTAGATATTTATAAGTTTGATTTGGTAACTCTTATAAGGGAAGTACAACTTTTTCTGCTTGGCAACTGACACTTTTTTTCAAGCTCGCGGCAACACTGTTTGCAACTGCCTATCGCCAATCAGTCAGCGCAATTTTTTTTTATTACGCTGACCAAAATAGAAGCTTTTCTCATGAATACCATGCTTTTGATACAAATACCCTCTACATACATACATAACTACAGTGAGAAATATGTAAGCAGTTCGAAACTCTTGCTGACGACGTAGACGCTGGCGATAATGATGACGCCTACAAATAGTTGCGCTAAAAATTAGAAAATTCACAATTGGAAGAGGACGCTATGTAACTCCAACAGACAAGTTAACGGATGTGTACGTACATATGTATATACATAGCTGACCAGCATAAAATGTGACGCCTGCAAAGTCGACCGAATGGCAATAGCCTGAAATACTAAAAACAAAAAAATGATTGCGCGCATATTTTGTAATCTTAAACCATGTAATCGTACACTAGCCACAGTTGACACGTTGCCGAGTGGGCGATTTTCATGATGCACTAAAGTGCACAGACCACTTGTATAGCTGCAGCTAATCGCTACAATGTAATGCATTTATGAGATTTCCCACGAAAATTTAGCGCAGCAAAGTGTAGATGCAATAACGGTTGTTTAAAATGTTTATGATTGCAAAATTGAATGAGTTGAACAGACGAAAATGTGAAAACAAATACCAAAAACTGACAAAAGTTAATGGAGTGCATGCAGTAGTATTGAAAGCCGATTACTGCATGACTCCTTAGGCGGTGTTCACACATTCAATTCATCAACCAATAAATCGATCATCAATCAACAAACACTGAAACTTTTTGACACGAAGTATATGTAGTTAGTAAAGTAGGGTAATATTCAGAACTACATACATATTTCATAAATTGGCAATCCTAAACCAAAAAGGTACACTAAGTATTTTGAAATAAAAAATATTTCAGAGTAATTTTTGTATCCAAAAATATTTTCGAGCTTACGCACACTACCGGCCAACAGTATTTATTTGCACTGAGAATTTTTCCAAACATATGCAAACATTTTTAATTTTTAATTTTTCCCGCTAGTTTTTTTTTTAATTTGGTTAATACTACAACGAAAAATTAAAAAAAAAAATATTCTAAACTTTGTGCCAAACTCAGGAAAATTCTATAAATTTTCATGCAAATTTTCAACTTTTTGATCAGATTTTTTAGAATTTTTTTTTTTTGAGTATGCAGTTTTGTAGCACATTAAATCCTGGTACAATGAAGTGCGTTGATTTTTTTAATTTATTTAGGTATTTTCTTCCATAAAAGGTTTTTCCAAAATATTTCGCATGAAAAAAGAAATGCGGAACACCTGCAACAAAAAAGAAACTCTCAAAAATCAACGACATTTTTTAGAAACTTAAACTTGCATTTTTTATACTAAAATTTAATTGGCCACAAAACGGCATTCTCAAAATTCAAATTCAAAAAAATTTGATTAATAAGTCGAAAATCTGCATACAAATTTATTGCATTTCATCGAGTTTTGCACAAAGTTACGAAATTGTATTTTTATGTTTTTTTTTTGTTGGTGTATAGACCATATTTTCATAAGAAATTAGCGGAAACATTAAAATAAAAATTTTTGCATATGTATGTTGTAAAAAATTCTCTGAGCAAATACTTTTGACCGGTAGTGTATACTTAAGGAATGGAAAAGCAAAAATTTTTTAAATAGCTTTTCTACCAAAAAATATTTTAAATAGGCTTGCAATGATTAAGATTTTTTTATATACATATATAACAGTGTTACCACCAATTACAAAATACAATTTTAATTATGTAAAATACATATATTCAAGTGTGTACATACATAAGTATATGCATACTTATATTATTCAAAAGGCGTTGTTCGTGTAAAAAAAATTTGGAATCCTGGCATTTAGAAACTCTAAGGAATTGAAAAGCAAACAATATAGAATATGTTTGAAATTATACATATGCTAAAATAAAAACGATGCCACTTATTTTTAATAAAACCGTTATTATGGATAATACTCAAATATGCTGTAGCATTGAAAATGATTTTTAATTTAAAGTTGTCAAATTTTTTACGAATTAAAAAATAAAAAATTAAGAATATTTTTTCGTGCGCAAAAAATATTTTTAAACTGTGCACCTACTCTGTACTGAGATTCGAAGTTAAATGCGATTCGAAAGGCGATACGGACTAATACAAATTAATAGTGTTCGAATAGAATTCGAATCCGAATGATTTGTTTTTCGAATTGCAATACATGCATAGACCCCCTGTGCTCCCACTAAAATTTTTGGTAACGAGGATTAGCAATGTATGTATTAAATTCTGTTTATGCGTGCAACCAACCAACCTAAAGTACACAAAAATTTGATAGTAGTGTTTCCACCTAAAAAATTCATTAACGATTTGGTACTAAAATATAACCATTCTTATGTAAAATAAACCCCCCCTTAAGGCGTGTGATTATTTTTTTGAACTCATTTTTGATCAGCTTTATGAAAAAAACATATTTGAAAAAAATGCAAACTACACCATGCGACAGTAAATTTTACACATACAAAAATTAAAATATTCGCGAAAATATGGGCAAAATATAATAAAACTGCGTTTTTAAGTTTTCACTCTGACGTCACAATTTTTTAAAGGACTTTAAAAATATGATTAATCCAAAAAATTTCAGAGAAAATCCTGAAGAATTAAAAAAATATTAAATTTTTTGGTGCATAAGAACCAATGCATGTGGAAATTTTCCTTTTAAAATTTTATCTCTGAAAACTTGCAATATTATACACATCCTCGAATTGCGTCCTAATAAATTAAATACCTATTTTCTTTTATGAACCAAAACACTTGAATGTTTTTCAATTATCTTTCATTTGGTACCCATATTGTTGTTACACATTCCTCAGATTTTATTTTATTTTTAAATTTTTTGTGATTTAATCATATCTTTAAAATTTCAAAGTCCTTTAAAAAGTCTTGACGTCAGTGTGAAAAACTAAAAACGCAGCTTTACTATATGTATTTGACCCATTCTTTCGAGAATATATTGATTGTTTCGTGTGTTTTGAAATTTTTTTATTTTTGTCGCACGGTGTTATGAGTTTAGAAAAAAAATCTTTATCTAAGTAGTATGTATCACAAAAGAGCAGTTTCCCAGACACTGTTCGAATTCGAAAGAAAGTATTTTATTGTTGTGTGGACGAATGTTTTTTTTTTTGCTTTCACACATTCCAAAGCAGCCAATACTGCCGCCAGCGAGTAATTGCCATATTATTGTTGCCCATTTTGTGTCTATATGCCGGGGTAAGCGCGCATTTCCAAGCTGCACCAAAATAACGCAGCAGCAACCGCAGAAATGCACGTTGATAGGGCCAACGTAGTGGCGAACGCATCGGCGACAGACTGCAGGCATGCAAACCTGCAGTCAAATTAATATTTGTAATGTTTTTGCTAGTGTGTGCGTGAGTGCGCAAAAACCGACCGGCCGTCGGCCGGACCGAGCCAAACCGAGTGACAGCGCATTGCCCTGACATGCGCTCTGTGTGCGCAATATTGCAACTTTTTATCGACGCGCTGTTGTGTGTTTTTACGCCGGTTGTCATTTTTTTTTGTGGCGTCTGTTCTGTTGTTTTTTTTTTTGTGTAAATTTTTATGAATGAAAATTTCTTCGGCAACAAAAACGTTCGTCTACGCACATCACAGCCAGGCATGCAGTTGTATGTACTACAACTACAATGATAGCGACCGCTACAAGAGTCACGCAGCATGCCGCTGACGACGAGTACGTTTGTGGAAGTTGACTTTCGTCAATGCACTTGCTGTGGGGTTTGCTTAGCTCTGGTTCTTGCTCTCCTTTCCCCTCCTATCTTCCCACCGCTCACCGGCATTCCGTGCTTGCTCACTCTGTCTGCCGCTATTCTACGCCATTTCGCTCACACAGCACAATACAAGCTCTAACTTTCTCTATCTCTCCTTTAAAACCCTTCATACGCTCTCCTCTCTTCCTCCCCGCATACTGCACTTGCTCTGTGCTCCACGTGCTTTACTGCATTTGCTCTCTGGTTTCATTACCACGTTCT